AGGAACCACTAGTAAACCTGCAGATTGAGAGCGAAGTGCTCTGTTAGGAACATAAGGAACAATCAGATCTCTGATATAAGATGGAGCTTGGCCATTTAAGGCTTTATATGTGAGAAGGAGGATTTTAAATTCTATTCTGGATTTAACAGGAAGCCAATGAAGAGAAGCCAGGATAGGAGAGATATGATCTCTCTTTTTAATTTTCATTAGAACTCTGGCTGCAGTATTTTGAATGAGCTGAAGGCTTTTAACTACAGCTTGTGGACTTCCTGATAGTAAAGAATTACAATAGTCCAGCCTTGAAGTAACTAATGCATGGACTAGTTTCTCAGCATCATGCCTGGACAGGAGATTTCTAATTTTTGCAATGTTCCTCAGATGAAAGAAGGAAATTCTAGAAACCTCTTTGATATGGGATTTAAATGACAGGTCCTGATCAAAAATAACACCAAGATTTTTTACTTTATTATCTGAAATCAGTTTAATCCCATCCAAATGAAGTGACTGGCTAATCAGCTTATTTTTCACAGACTCTGGTAAACAGTAATAAACACTGGAAAACAGGGCCAACAGCTTCTTCTAAAACAGGAAGCTGTGGACAGGAGTAATCGAGCTGTTCAGATGACAAGTCCTGATTAAAAATAGCAAAAAGGTTTTTGACGTTATTAACAGAGGGCTTTATAATGCCCATCTAGATGAATGTATTGACTAAACAGTTCTTTTTCAAAGACTCTGGCCCAAAGATAATAACTTTAATTCAACTCAGAAAAATGTTATATAATCCAGATTTTCTTGTCTTCAGTACATGCCTATAGTCTATCTAACTGGCTAGATTGATCGGGATTCCTGCATAGATGAAGTCTAGTATCATCAGCATAGGATAAAATTTATCTCATGTTGTCTAACGACCAGATTCTACATCCTCCGCTCCTGTCTGTGTCATGTAAGTTGCTGACCACCTCAGCACGTTGGTGAAAAGCAACACCAAAAAGAGCTTTTGCGAGAGGAACCAAGAAGACTGGAGCAGAACAGAAAAATGGAGTTGCTCCGTGTGTCACAATGAGCTTGTCGCAGGTATGACACAGATATTTTTGATTCATGCCCAATTTTTAAGCAGAGTCTGTGCTATGTTATTCCATGCCACGACGCAAGAGGGACAATCAGGAACTAGCTGTTTAGATACGGCCGAGGTGGTGAGGAAGTGGAAGCAAGTTTGTGCGACAACAGAGGGATATGAGGGTGAAAAAGAGCGGGGATCCAGGTGGGAAAATGGTCCCAGCGTTTTTGTACACCTCGTTCTTCTAGCTGGTCCATCTTCACGTGTCATTTTCCACAATGGCGGTAGTGAACCAAACAGGAAATATGCATAGAGTAGAGTGGATGTAGATTTGACCAATCAGAGGCCTCCCGTCTGCGGCACTGTTTGGGGTTACCTGCAATTTGGAAAGGTGCACCCGAGTGTCTGCAGCAGGGGCGAAGGCACACTTGCATTCACAGCGACACACATGCAGATGACCTGGTTTCTGACTATAAATCAGCCTTTATGGAGAGAGTGGGAAAATTCTTGTTAATTAGCATAATTGCTCTGTACACTGGAAAAAAAATCGAAATCTAGATCAGTAATTTTTTCTTAAAATGAGTGCATTTGTTCTTGAAATGAGGAGGTAAAAGAGACATCTTGCCAATGTAACCAGATAATTTACACTTAAAATAAGAAAACACAATTACATTGTCTTATTTCAAGTGCATATTCTCTAATTATCCTATTTTAAGAGTAAAAATACTCATTCCATTTGCAAACTATCTTATTAACCTACTTAGAATAAGGATAAATACACTTAATTTAAGAAATTTTTACTTATTTCTAGATCGTTTTTGCAGTGTATGGGCCAGTTCAGAACAGCCTTTATTAAACATAGCCTTAATAATATATATTACATATCTCTTGAAGATCAGACCTTCCAGTCTGGTGTGGAGGCTTTTGTCCAGCAAGCTATGTTCTCCCTGATTAGTTTTTCTTTGAGTTTCTGATGGTATCCAGGGATTTAAAAGAAATATTGTCAGCTATTAAAAATACTGATATAGCCGTCTTAGACAGGGTACTTGCAATAAGTTTAGAGAAATGGCTTAATCGTCTGAAAGTTAAAATCTTTTATGAAGATTCTCAGTCATCCAGGTCATAGTCATTTCAAAAAAGTAAAAAAAAAAAAAAACAATCCGCAGGACTTCATTACCAAGTTTGAAGATGTTTCAGCCAAGCCAACAATTCCCTCTAACAACAACTCTTTCAGAGACATAGACAGGAATGGGGCATTAGAAAGACCCCAAACAACCCCCATTACAAAGGGGTGGACTCATACATTCGGTTTAATTAGCATGTTTTCTAAGCCAAAACAAGGCTTTGTTTTGGTCCACTCTATAAAGCCTCAAACTCAACGCTATTTCAGATGTTTTGGATTGAAAAAGCTTCCTGGACGGGAAGCAAAACGTCTTCTTACTTGGAAAGAAAGTCCAGTGGATTGTTTTTTATACTTTTTTTCTTCTATGAACAATAAAGGCAGGCAGTGAGAAACACTAACACATAAGTAAAATCAAAAATGCTGATATACCATGGTAATAACTTCAGACATCACAGATGTCCAAGCTGACACCTTGATCACTGGTGTAGGAGGATGTAGTTCTGGGATATGGGGATATGTGATATTTCCGCCCACTTTGCTTGGGGACAAAAATCCTTACCTCACAGACATTCATTCTTTATAGTGAATCTTGCCTGAGGTTCACATTGGGGCGACACCATGATGAAAGGCCACAAGCCCAGGAGCAGAATTTGCAGACTGATCAAAGGCTAAATGGTAAATTTCTGAACCAGATTGTTGCAAAAATAGATTGTTTCCCAGCATTTTCTATGAGTTTACAGGAAACTTTGAGATTCCAGAGATCAGAGGTGTGAAGCATGTGAAAGGAGAACACTAGCTTCTCTGCTGCAGGCCTGACATCGCTAAGCTGCTGAATACTGGATACAAGACTCGTCACCAGAGGTTACACTGGAAAAACGACAAAGAAATAAGTAAAAATTTCTTAAATTAGGTGTATTTACCCTTGATTTGAGTAGGTAAATGAGGTAGTTTGCCAATGGAATCAGTATTTTTACTCTTAAAATAAGATAATTAGATAGTATTCACTTGAAATAAGAGAATGCAATTGTGTTTTCTTATTTTAAATCTAAATTGTCTGGTTCCATTGGCAAGATGTTTCTTTTATCTCCTCAATTCAAGAACAAACGCACTTATTTTAAGAAAAAATTACTTATCAAGATTAAAATTTTTTTGCAGTGTCCAGGTGGGGAAAGATTTTCCAGCCAAATAATTTGAGGTTTTGATTATTTTCATTTGAAGTTTTTACTATTGTGTAATGATTCCCTGCTAAGACATGTTTTGAGCTGTGGTTTATTAAGGCTAAGGGCTTAAACACTGATATGACATTAGCATTTATGTTTCCCTCATATGCTCATCAGATTTGATTATAGCTACTAGCTCAATCACAGAAGATTACGAATCAATTAACTTAAGATCATTGATTGCTGATTAAGCAAATTATTTAATAAAATATATAATATAATTTAATTATTTTACCAAATG